TTTCGTGTCAGATGCCAAAGAAGCTTCAGTAAGTCTCAAAAGCCCTCATGCATGCTCTGCTCCCTTTCAGCCTGCCTGGCACACCAACAAAGGCCAGCGTAAAGGCTACTGTACGGAATTTACATGACTGTTCTTACCGCCTTGCAGGTGAGGGCGAGGGAGATGCGCGAGGCGAGAAGGAACAGCCTCGATCCCGTCGAGAGGTATCTCATCACACTTGCAGCCTTTCACCTCAACGTCACGGAGGAGGAGGCAGAAGAGTCGCTGATTGATTCCGAGAATTATGCTTCGGTGGTCAAATTCAATCGCTACAATTCCAACGGCCGCGTTTTATGCGTTCATGTGCAGACGTCGAACATCGCTGAAGGTATGTGGACGACCCATTCCACACTCATCTACTCTCGTATCCGTTTTTATTCTCTCATCTCTTCGTTCATTTTTCCTTATTTGTCATCTCATGTTATTTGGGAAAATTCGTAATGCAGCTCTGACTTGCCTTACAATAGCACTCATTTAATGCTGCCTACCATTTGGTTGGAGAAGATTGCATTTGTTGCTTTGAGCGTTCTATTCTAGTTGCAATTGACTTTGCTCTTTGGTTGGACCTTTGCTCCGGCCGCAGACTCCTTTTCTTGATTCGGCATTGTTTCCACTCAACTTGTGCACACATGCACTTTTGGCCCGACTGGGATGAGCCAAAATCAGTCTCCTCTTTCATCATTGTCATGTCTTTTCAAGTGTCCAATCGTACTCGCACACAGCACCCATGCAGGTGAGAGTAAAGTCTGAAGAATAAGGACTACAGAGTGAAGACACAAGTTTGACGATTGGAGATTGAACATTGAACATTACGAATGCAAGATAAAAGATTACAGATTCAATAGTGATGCTTGGCAAGTGAAATGTGAAGATTGCAGAACGAAGCTTGAAGGTGCAAGATTGCAGCATGAAGAGTGAATATTGAATGGCGATGATTGAAAATGGAAGATGGAAGACTTAATAAAAGGCGAATCTGCTGAAGCCGGGTAGAACAATTTTCACATTTTGCCTATCGGTACACCAGCGACTGGGCAACAAGAATGTTACAAACTTGTCGTCATAGCCAGAAGTGTGAGATATGCGGCGGAGATCAGGACGAGCCATTAGAGAAGGTATCACATTTAATAAGTTGTCACTCTCGCAAGATGTTGCAAAGCTGGAATTCGACGAGTCTTCGGAGGTATCGTTTATTTCACTCAAAAGGGACCAGCGAATGGAAGCTTCGTCAATCGTTCGAACGAGGCTCCAAACTCCGTCGCAGGCTTCGAGGTCACGAGGGACGATGGAGTTTCGAGACTGTCCGAAACATTCCTGACCGACGGGATTTATGCTGCATTTTTCCACTCTTTTTGCCATCTTTTACCTCCTAAACTGGATTGAATTTCCCGCCTCTCACGAGACTCGAACCGTTTCGCGTCGCTCGCGTCACACTGACGCGCAGAAAGACTGGCCGCAAAGCAGGTCTCGTCAGAATCACACCTTCATGGCGTAATTATCAATGAGGCCAACCTGCATCTGCCAATATAATCGACCATACTACTCATATTCCGTGTCAGTAGCAATTATTAAATGATAACTTGCATCAAGCTCATTCAAATGGAGACGTGTTGCTAAATCTGGACCGACGCCATTCTGGAATTCCCTTTGGCCTTCTTCGTCTCCACTCGCCCTTTCAACCTGACGTCTGACGGACTCTGTCCTCACCTCCGCCAATGGGCGGCAACAGCGGCAACCCCACTGCCTCTATCCACAATTTTGCCATACATACACACACACACACACACACACACACAGTCACACCCAGGGATGGACTGGCATCGAGGGGAAAGAGAGGCGGGGGCGAGTCGGTTGGTCATTGGGAATGGGCGAATGTGAAGTTGGCACGACGCAAAAGAGATACAGCAGACCGGACTGGCACACTTTCGGCCTGACCTCTGGCCATGTTCATGTGCATGTCACTGTCAACGTGAGCATCGGTGCGGGCTCGTGTGGAGGTGACGGGGAGCGCACGAGTCGGAAGCCATCAGAACGGAGCGTCGGTCTGAGATGCTCAAGCACTTAATGGTGGCCCAATGCAGCAAAATGATGCATCACGGGCAGGCAGAGTTGTCAAGCTTAATACCTGAAATCGTGGCTGGTGAATGATGGCCCATTTTCATATGAATCTATTTGTGTGTGTGTGTGTTTTCGATTATGGAACCACTTTAAGGCTGCATCCGACGTGGATTAGCAAGGGCTTAATGGCCTTCCCTCTTAACTCAGGGGCGCTCATTCTGAAGGTTGATGGTACTCTAAGAGTCCGTTTTTGCCCATTTCCTTGCATTTGGAAAGAGATTCATACCTCGTCTGTTGGTCACTTATTATGCACAAAAGAAGAATTGTCGAAGCTCAGCCTCACGCCATGCAGGGAGTTCTGCGGACTTCAGGAGAGCCAATTTTTTCCTACATGCAACATTTAAAATGCTCTCTAAGTTCCTCATGAGCGGACATTGTCGTGAATAATTGCATTTTTATGAAAATATAAGTATATAGATAGATAGATAGATAGATAGATTAATAAATAGATAGATAGATAGATAGATAGATAGATAGAAAGATAGATAGATAGATAGATAGATAGATAGATAGAT